TTCAAAAAAAATTTAAGACTTATGAAATGAAAAAAGAGATAATTTCAAATACAAAGGGAGTGCGTGTGTCGGACTGGCTAGGTTGTATAATAAACTCCAATCAACCATCTCTACTATAAGTACCAGGAAAACGGCAATCAAGAAGCTGTTCTTGCAAAAGGTGCAACTGTGATTACGAAACAGCGACCGCAAGTGTTAGAAAATGCTGAGAGATTGTATTGGTGTGGATAAATGAAAAACAGATAGCAGGAGATAGCATCTCTCAAGCGATCATTTGTGAAAAGGCTAGGCAGTTGCATGACGATTTGGTAAAGAAATTGCCTGCAAATAGTGGTGATGTGAGTGAATTTAAGGCCAGCAAAGGTTGGTTTGAAAGATTTAAGAATCGTAGTGGCATACATAGTGTGATTAGGCATGGTGAGGCTGCTAGTTCAGACCAAAAAGCAGCTGAAAAATATGTGAAGGAATTCAAGGATTACATAGACAGTGAAGGACTGAAACCTGAACAAGTGTTTAATTGCGGCGAAACAGGCCTGTTTTGGAAGAAAATGCCAAGCAGGACCTACATTACTGAGGAGGAAAAGGCACTCTCAGGACATAAGCCTATGAAAGACAGGCTTACTCTGTTGATGTGTGCCAATGCTAGTGGTGATTGCAAAGTGAAGCCTTCATTGGTGTATCACTCTGAAACTCCCAGTGTGTTCAGGAAAAACAATGTCCTCAAGGCTAATTTGTGTGTGTTGTGGAGGGCAAACAGTAAGGCATGGGTCACTAGGGACTTTTTCTATGACTGGTTACACCAAGCATTTGCCCCCACTGTGAAAAATTACCTAACTGAAAAGAAATTAGACCTTAAGTGCCTCCTGGTATTAGACAATCCCCCTGGTCATCCTACAGACTTGTCAGAGCGACTTTCTGGGGACATGAGCTTCATTAAGGTCAAGTTTTTGCCTCCTAATACCACTCCACTCCTGCAGCCCATGGACCAGCAGGTCATTTCCAACTTCAAGAAACTGTACACAAAAGCTATGCTTCAAAAGTGCTTTATAGTGACCACAGAAACTCAACTGACTCTAAAAGAGTTTTGGAAGGATCACTTTAACCCTTTGACTGTCGCGGCCGTATATATACGTCTTACGAGGTACTGTGTTTGACGTATATATACTCATAAATTCTAGCGGCTTCAAATCAAGCAGGAGAAAGCTGGTAGGCCCACATGTGAGAGAATGGGTCCGTGTGGTCAGTGTGCACCATATAAAAAAAATCCTGGAGCATGCAGTGCATAATGAGAAAAAAACAACTCCCGACCGTTTTTTTTAAAAAATGCGATTTTGGGGTTATTTTCGTTAGTATTTATGGTTGTATTCTTTTTCCTTTGGGGTTCTTTTGATAGAAGGGAAAACATTATAGAAAAGGGTGATTTTGATTGTTTTTACTATAAAAAGAACCTAAAATGGAGCTCAAAGTGGGGGAAATGTTTGATTTTTTGCCAATTTTTAAAAAGTAAAAAATGGTGCCATTCCCCAAAAAATGTCCAATTACCCCATTTAAATGCATCATAATGGTTGAGTTATTTAACAATTATTACAGTATGAGAGTCTCATAAGTAAGTCCTATTTTTTTTTTAAAACAAAAATTCAAAATAAAAAGCAAGAGTAAAAATTGGGGGCCCTGGAGACTGACGATGGCAAAGAAAATGTTATTTTAGAGCCGGGAAATGTCTGCATTGTTCTTTGGACCTTTTTTTAAAATTTTGTATATTTTTAGTTTTCCGGAAAATTTGGGCCAAATTAAAAATTTTGACCACATTATGTAGTTGAAATCGGTAAATGGGCGTTTCTTGTACTCTTCTAGAAAAAAATGGTTCTAAAAAAAGTTTATGAGTTTGGGAGACTGGAACAATAAAATTACCGAAAAAGGGTCAAAGGGGGCGAAATCGCCGATTTGTAAACAGCGCCGAGGTCGCTAATTTTCACAGAGCAAATTCGTCAGTTTTCCATCAAATTTCTTTTTTTTTTTGGCATTAAAATCGGGAAAAGTTTCTCTATCATTTCATAAAAAAAAATTTTTTTTTTTTTAAAATTTTTGCGACACCCGGGAAAACACCTCGGATTGGGGTTGCGACAGTAAAAGGGTTAATTCCTCAATTGTAAAAACTTGATAGGTAGGCTTGGGGAGGGAGTGACAAAGAGGACCTTGAACTCTGTTTTGGAAAAAACTGGCCAAAATGTGAGACAAAAGGGTTTTTTGAAGGATTTGAGGCTAACCCTGAGAATCCTACCCGTTGGGAAATCCATTGTGGCTTTGGGGGAAGTCCTTGGGGTTGGAGGTTAGTGGGGGGGTGTGGAAGAGTTGGTGGAGGAGGACATGAAGAATAACCACTGAGAGCTGCTAGATCATTTGAACACAAGAGGCCAACCTGGGGAAACTGCTTCGGAGGAGGGATAGAAAAATTTGAAAATTGCCTACTTCAAAGTTTAAGGAAATGTGTGAAATGGGGCTTAAAGTGAAAACCCTTTTTTTTGATGAAACCCACCCTAACACAGCTATTGCAAGCCGTGCGGTGACGACATTACA